AGACTTAAACATAAGACCTAACACCATACAAATCCTAGAAGAAAACCTAGGCAAAACCATTCAGGACAGAGACATAGGCAAGGACTTCATGACTAAAACACCCAAAGCAATGACAACAAAAGCCAAGATAGACAAATGGGATCTAATTAAACTCCAGAACTTCTGTACAGCAAAAGAAACAATCATTAGAGTGAACTGGCAACCAACAGAATGGGAAAACATTTTTGCAATCTACCCATCTGACAAAGGGCTAATATCCAGAATCTACAATGAACTAAAACAGATTTACAAGAAAAAAACAAACCCATCCAAAAGTGGGCGAAGGATAGGAACAGACACTTTCCAAAAGAAGACATATATGAGGCTAACAAACATATGGAAAAATGCTCATCGTCACTGATTATTAGAGAAATGCAAATCAAAGCCACATTGAGATACCAGCTCACGCTAGTTAGAATGACGATCACTAAAAAATCTGGAGACAACAGATGCTGGAGAGGATGTGGAGAAATAGGAATACGTTTACACTGTTGGTGGGAGTGTAAATTAGTTCGACCATTGTGGAAGACAGTGTGGGCACTTCCTCAAGGACCTAGAAATAAAAATTCCATTTGACCCAGTAATCCCATTACTGGGTACATACCCAAAGGATTATAAATCATTCTTCTATAAAGACACATGCACATGTATGTTCACTGCTGCCCTGTTTACAATAGCAAAGACCTGGAACCAACCCAAATGCCCATCGACCATAGACTGGACAAGGAAAATGTGGCACATATACACCATGGAATACTATGTAGCCATAAAAAATGGGTTCATGTCCTTTACAGGGACATGGATGAAACCTGGAAACCATCATTCTCACCAAACTGACACAAGAACAGAAAATCAAACACTGCATGTTCTCACTCATAGGCAAGTGTTGAACAATGAGAACACATGGACACAGGGGAGGGGAGCATCACACACTGAGGTCTGTTGCAGGGGACTAGGGGAGGGACAGTGGGGGCTAGGGAGTTGGGGAGGGATAACATGGGGAGAAATGCCAGATATAGGTGATGGGGATGGCGGCAGCAAACCACATTGCCATGTATGTATCTATGCAACAATCCTGCATGTTCTTCACATGTACCCCAGAATCTAAAGTGCAATATAATATAATAATTTAAAAAATCCTTCCTGTTACAAACATAATATTTTATAAAAAGCTGTTACAAGAAAGCCTAATCAAATCAATGCAGTCATCATTTGCTCCTGCAAATTAGAAGCTGACAGTGGGTTGGGTCTTCTACTCAAGATGTCTCCAATAATCTTTTATAAATTCAAAGTCAAGCACTGTCCTTTCGAATAGATCTCCTCAGATTAGAGAAGCTTTGAGTTCCAAGAAAGTGCTGTGGGTGGGCACAGGCATATCTTCCCACACATATGTGCTAATGAATCAAGTTGTAAAACTCCAACTCAAAAGGAAAATCATGCCAGCCTGTGCACAGTCACGCCCTTGCCAGGAGCAACTCCACCTGCCCTTCCCAAAACTTCAGACTTCCTGGGTGAAAACTCAGCCCATCTCACGTGGAAAGGGGATGCTGGCACCTTCCCACTGCCTTGCTGTAATGATCTTCCCACTTCCTGGCATCAGTCCTGATGATCACTGTGTCCATAGAGTGACAACTTATCTCCAGGGTCCACAGGTTCCTTTATGGAAGGAGACTTGGGAGTCCACTTTACACATTGCTGGGTATTGGAAAAATGTTTACCAAAAAACAGAAATTTGAATCCTTTTTTAAGAAGTGGTTAGTGGCAATGTTGTCATTTTGGGAAGATTGACATCTTGGGGACTGCACTAATTGCGCTGTGGGCTTGCTCATGTATTCTTAGACATCTAAGAAACACATACTGAAGAAAATACAAATGGTATGTGTTGGGCACATACACATTATTCACCGGGATTGAACTTCAATAAGTGAGGCGGCTGCGAGAAATCTGGGTTCAAGCCCCTCACAGGAAGTGTAAATGTTCCTTTCTCAGGAAAATCAAAGAAGGAACCCTGAATAACCAGAAAAGAAAAGAGAAAATGTAACAGCTACCTGCCCAGTCTGGGGGATTTAATTATTGGCAGTCGATGTTCCTTCCCACCTGTTCAAGGCTCTGGCTTCCCTGCAGGAACGATTGTCTTCCTCATGTTGTACGGCCTGCTCACTGGGCTGGAAAACCCTGTGTGTGTTTACAAATGTGAAAAGAGAAGCGCTGAAAGTAGGCGATTATCTGAATTGTTCAAGCAAAGCAGTTTATGTTCGCCTCAATACCCTGAATGCTACATTCAAATAATGTTTGTTTTGGAAGTGGTGTGTGTGTGTGAACATATGTTTTGTCTGCCTAATTATTTTCTAGCTTGTGCTCCTGTATAAACTAATCTGAAAAGCCCACTTGGTTAACTCAAAACATGGAAAACTTATCAGTGACTGATTGTTCAACTAGTTTTTCAGCACTGTTATATTTAAGTTGCGCTAAAATTTGGCTTTTATAAGTAAGCAGGGCAATAAAAGGCATAAATGGTTTTACTGACAACATTAAAACCCAAAGCATTATTTAGTTAGATTGCATTAAAAAAGTAAATATTGCCTGGATGTGGTGGCTTATGCCTGTAATCTCAGTACTGTAGAAGGCTGATGTGGGTGGACCACCTGAAGGTCAGGAGTTCAAGACCAGCCTGGCCAACTTGGTGAAACGCCATCTCTACTAAAAATATAGAAAATTAGCCAGGGATGGTGGTGCATGCCTGTAATCCTAGCTACTTGGGATGCTGAGGCAGGAGAATCACTTGAACTCTGCAGGTGGAGGAGCCATTGCACTCCAGCCTGGGCACCAAGAGTAAAACTTTGTCTCAAAAAAAAATAATAAAATAATAAAACAATAGGGGGAGATCCAAGATGGCCAAATAGAAATAGCTCCGGAGTGCAGTTCCTAGTGAGAACAGCGCAGAGGGTGAGTGCTCACCGCATTTCCAAACAAGTTTTCACTGCCCACAGACCAGGAGATTCCCGGACCAAAAAGCTCCATGAGTTTGCAGCATGGCGGTTTCAGCCGGTGCTGGGTCAGCACACAGAAACTCACACAAATCTGGGCGGCCGTTTTGACTGGTGCCCGGAATGTTTGGGAGACAGAGCTGCCTATTCAACTGAAAGGGAGGGGCCTGAGACAGGGAGCCAGGGGATCTGGCTCGGCGAGTACCAGCCCCACAAAACAAGCAATCTGAAACGCTCTGGATTGAGAGTTTCGTAGCAAGCGCAGTTGGACCCAGGACTGTCCAGCTCAGTGGGGGGAAGGGCATCCCCCACTGCTGAGGCAGTCTGCCACTACCGAAGCAGTTCACACAGCAGCTGAGCAGACCCTGCAGCAAGCTCAGCAACGCCTCTGCTGGCAGACTGTGACCAGACTACTCCATGTGGGGCAGGGCATCTATGAAAAAAGGCAGCAGCATGATAGGAACTTATAAATAAAGCCAACCTTCCCAGGATAGATCAACTGGGAAAAGAGGCAGTTATGAGTTCAGCTGCAGCAGACTTAAAGTTACCTGCCCAGCAGCGCTGCATGGAACAGCAGAGCTCCCAGCACAGCACTTGAGTGCCTATAAGGGACAGACTGTCTCCTCAAGCAACTCCCCGATCCCCACATGCCCAAAGAGACACCTCATAAAGGAGAGCTCAGGCTGACATCTGGCAGGTACTCTTCTGGGACAAGGGTAGCAGAGGAAGAAACTGGCGGCAACCCTTGCTGTTCTGCAGTCTCCGCAGGCAATCCCAGACGAGCGGGGTCTGGAGTGGACCTCCAGCAGAGGGGCCTGTTAGAAGGAAAACTAAGAAACAGAAAGAAATAGCTTTAACATCAACAAAAAGGACGTCTACTCAGACACCCCATCCGAAAATCACCAACTACAAAGACCACAGGTAGATAAAACCACTAAGATGGGAAGAAACCAGCACA